TATTGGAGGATGACCTTGAACTTCTGATCTTCCTGCCACCATCTCTCAGATATGGGATTACAGGCATGAGGCACCACAGACGGTTTATATAACTGGAGAGAGTGAACCAGGCTTTCGTGCGTGTTAGACTAGCAGTCTACCGACCAGGCTATATCCACAACCCCAGACAGCCGGCTTCTGGTGATAACCACAGCACTGGCCGTCCAGTCTTGACCAGCAGAGGAAGGTAAGATTTGCTTGATCCCAGAATGCAACCTTAATGAGTGAGGCTCTGGTTCCCAGGACTACAGTCAGATCTATTTCTGGAACCCACTTCCCTAATCTCTACCCCGATACTCATAGTAATGTTGCTGAGGTCCAGGCTAGGTCAGAGGCTTGCTTCTCCCCTCTTCACAAAGTCCACTGCTGGTGTTTGTACCCAGACCTTCTGGGATCATGAGGCACTGGGACTTTTGAGCATTAATCTTTTCATTTTCAGTGGAAACTTTCTGCTCAGGGAGAAACAGTTTGATACCAGCGGACAGTCCACCCATAGACACAGAGAAGAAAGCCCATCTGAATGGGCAGAAACCTCTAATCTCTGTTAGGGATCAGCGTGACAGGCTGGACTAGGGACTACCAGGTCTTGTAGAAGACAGGCAGGAGGCAGAACCAGGTCTTCCCAGGTGGACACATGTTGGGACAGAGCCAAGAGTCTATGCTTCATGCTTGGAATCAGAGCCGAGATGTAGGGTGTGGTCGGATAGATACTATGGAGTCAGTTCTATTGGACAGCAGACAGGGCCAGGGCAGAGAACTTAAACAGGGAACTTGGATGTCAGGAAGTCAGTATGACTTATTGCGGCTATTTCTCTGTAAGGGCAGGAGAAACACTGGTGACCATGCATGTACTGCGGGTGCATGTGTCCTCTAAAGGGTGTGGGGACAAGGGGGTTGGCTATTGGGTAGAACAAGGGTAAGTAGAGACATAGTCGGGAGCTGAGAGTAGACACAGAGGGATGGAACCATTCAGGAAGTCCTGCCTGCCAGGGCCACCCCCTTAGTGACCACAGTGACAGTTTATAGGCAAGAAGGAGACAAACACAGGGAGGAACATCTCTGTACTGTGAGCATGAGAAGTGGCTTCTGGACTCAGTTTCCCTTAGGCGGTTTGTTTAGCTTAATTTATTTGCTATCTGTCTATCTATCTATCTATCTATCTATCTATCTATCTATCTATCTATCATCTATCATCTATCTATCTATCTATCTATCTATCTATCTATCTATCTATTTTTGAGACAGGATCTCTCTGTGTATCCCTGGTTGTCCTGGAATTCACTTTGTAGATTAGGCTAGTCTTGAATCATAGAGATCAGCCTACCTCTGCCTCCTGAGTGCTAGTATTAAAGGTGTGAACCACCTTGCCTGGCTTATTTTTATTTATTTATTTTATGTGTATGGGTATTTTGCCTGCATGTATATCTATGTACAATATACATGCCTGGTACCCTTGGAGGCCAGAAGAGGCAATGGATCCTCTAGAACTGAGTTACAGATGGTTGTGAGCTGCCATGTGGGTGCTAGGAACTAAATGCAGGTCCTTTGGAAGAGTAACCAATGCTCTTAACTGCTGAGCCATCTCTCCAAGCCTGCTATTTAGTTTAAAGACACAGTGTCCAGATAGTACACCCACCGTGTATCTCAGGTCAGCCTACATAACCATTCACAGCATGCTGGTGGTATCTGGAACCTGCCCGCTGGCTGGCTGAGCGACCGAGTGACAGCTCAGCTAGAGGCTGTATTCCCACTCATAGAGAAAAGGTGGGCAGTGCACCTTGCTGGACTTGCTGGTAAGTTTTGCAGAGAAAATCTCCATAAATATGTCAGCACTAATGAAAACACAGTTCATGCAATTTTCATCAGAACTTCTTTAGGGAATAACCCCAAGAAGCTGGGTGTAGTGATATACACAATCTCAAAACTGGAAAGTCTATGGCAGAAGGGTTCCAGGCTAGCCTCAGTTACAGAGTGGTGAGACCAGCAATAAAACTTGGGGCCAGGGGCTGGCGACGTGGCCCAGTGGCTGAGTGCTTAGCATGCTCAAGACGCTGGGTTCAATTCCCTGCACAGGAAGAAAGGAAAGGGAAGAAGGGAGAGAGGAAGATAGGGATAGACTCAGGGCTTTCAGCTGCTTGGTTTCTAGTTCCCTACCTTCTGCCCCTGGTCCTCTGTCACCATCCTTCTCACCCTCTTCCTGCACTTCTGCCCCTGGTCCTCTGTCACCATCCTTCTCACCCTCTTCCTGCACTCAACTGTTTGTTCTCAAAGCTTTTTGATGCTGTTCCTCCCCTCACCCCCAGCTTCCCCCCCCCCCCCAAGACAGGATTTCTCTATGTAACAGTCCTGGCTGTTCTGGAACTTGCTCTATAGACTAGGTTGACCTCAAACTCACTGAGATGCACCTACTTCTGCCTCCCAAGTGCAGGATTAAAGGAGTGCACCACCACTGCCCGTCTCTCCCCAACCCCCTCAGGTGATTGATTCCTCATGGGATATCTGTTCCTGAGTGACAGTCAGCCCAGATGCCTCATGACTTTTGACCCGTGCAAGTTTTGAGTGACAAGTTCCCCTTCAGGTTCGTTATTCCTCTTCTACTTTTTCCAATCCCAGCTCTATCTTACCTGTTGCTGAGCAGTGGGCCTCTTCCCTATCCTGCCTCCTCTCAGTAGCCTGCAGCCAAATCACCTCTGGAGCCAAATCACCTCCCACCACAAACTACAGTAGCCTCACCCGACTCACATACACCAGGCTCCCTCCTCTGCTCACCTGGCCACTGGTGGGCTCTTTCTAAACTACACAATAGACTACATTGCTTCTTCTTAAGCCCTTGGTGGTTCTTGCTGATGCTCCATCAACTTGGTTGGGGAGCGGGCTCTGCCCAGCAGCCTGGTTTCTATGTTTCCATACTTCTGGAGCCCCAAGAGCTCAGACCTGAGCAGTTTGCCATGGAACCTTTGCAGGGACAGTTGCCTTGGCCTGCATCTGTGCAGAAGAATGTGGCTTCAGCAGAGGAGCTCAGCTTCCAGAGCACAATAATGATCCTTCTTTTAAGTTTCAGCCAGTCCCACCCGAGATCACTGCAGCCCTTTGGCCTGCCTGAAACGGACACATATGTCTTGGCAGTTGGTTATCTTTCTGCAGCACCAGAAAAGAAAGGTGACTAGCTCCTGTAACATAGATTTGACCAAATGGCTCTGGAAAGGAGCAGTCTTGAGAACAAGAGGACAAGAAAGATGGTGACATAGGACCAGGGGCAAAGAGCAGGGAAACAGGGATTAAACAAGTAAAAGCTTTTATTGAATCTCCCCCTCCCTCCCCTGCTTTCTTTCTTCTTTCTATTTTTTTTTCCTGACTGGAGGCTCAAGCTATGTCAGCATGTCCCACACTTTAAGCCAGTGGGGTCTTCCATTCCTTCCAGAGAATGAGGGCACTGCTTTCTAACTCTGAGGCCCAAAGAGAGACAAGGCCGATAACACCTCCACTGCCCATAGGCCCTCATGGGCTGATTTTACCATCTGCCCCTGAGCTGTGGCTAGAAGGGAGTAGGAAGCCTGCTACCTGACTGACAGGCGGCAGCCTTGTGCACTAAGGACCTTGAACCACAGCCAGAATGGCTTCAGGAAGTCAGCTCCTGAGTCCACCTGCAGCCGCTCAGGACCTCAGACTTCTTTCCTTTTGCTTTCTTTCTCTCTGTATGCTGAGATGGGACACAGCCAAGAATGAGGGCACAGCAGAGACATGAGACAGACGGGAAATGAGCATAGAAAAGCAGAAATCATTGGCCTGCCTTTGGGGGCCACGTGGACAGTTGTCCAGACACGTACAACGAGGAAACAGTGATTCGGGGGATAAATGGCAGATCCCAAGAGGTGGCAGTCGAGTCACGTGACTCCAGTTTCCCTTTTCTCTCTACTTTTCTCACAAAGGCTAAGTATAGATGATCAGCAGACATGTTCAGAACCACCCAGCACCAGGCCCCCTTCCACCCAGCCTGAGCTCTGGGGAAGAACGGCACAGTTCCCACGCTGTCTGCCTTGTCCTTCACTGTCAGTGCCCACAGGGTAAGATCCCTGCTGTGTGTTAGCCTCCTAAAGGTTCCATTCACCACCTGCTGGGCCCCTAGTGTAGACTCCAGTGATGGTTCTCCCTTTCTGGGGGCCTGGCTTCATCATTTCCGCTTTTATTTTTTTTTCATACCGTCACCACTACCTTGGACCCTAAATCTTGCTCCTGGCCTGGCCACCTCCCTGGCAGCCCAGAACACACTTGTTTTGCAGTATTTTGGGAGGGGTTCTTATAGTGGTCTTGGCTGAGGTTCTTGACTCTAGGAGGTTACTTTGTGTTCCTCTGCCCGCTTTACCCCTGGATTCTGAATGCTCAGTAGTTTGAATCCTTCCCCCGGTGTGATCAAAACGAAACTTTAAAGCTTCTGATGAATATTGCCAAACAACTTTCTGCCAATGCCGGCGCCAGTCCGCCAGCTGTTTGAGAATGATTATTTTGCAATGCCTTTGCCATTCTGGGTTTTAGAGGGGACAGCATTAGTCTTTAGAGTTTAGTGAGCAAAGTCATCTGGTCACACTGGGGACACTGTTACTCTACCCTGAAATACTTTCCTCCACCGCTTGGGCATGCAGCCACTCCCACTTTGTGCTGCCACCACCTTCCGCAGAACGGCAAGCCCACATAGATTTCCTAGAGCCAATTTCAAACGCCTTTAGAGAACAACATAGCTCTTTCTTAGATGATTTCATTCAGCACCTCTTTCGGTAAAAATATTAACACATAACCCATTGCTAGGCATGAAAGTAAATTCCAGGTCAGCCTGGGCCACATACTAAGACCTCATCTGAAAACCCAAAACTAAAGAAAGCAAGGCATAAATACAAAGCAAAACAAGTAGCCCATGAGAGGAAGCCTAGAGGTCCACTTCCTGTAGCTCCAGAAGTCTGGCTTACCTGAGCAGGGGCCTTTGGGACCTTGTGTCCTCGTCCCTGGAGAAGAGCCGTCCAGGCAATTAGGACCTGAAAGGAGAGGAGCCATTCACAGAAGTGACTGGAACGAGACAGCCACACAGGTGAACCAGTACAAAGATCTCAGTGCTCCGCCTCATCTGGAGGCACTGCCACACCCTCCCTGTCGCCAGGACTGGAGTTTGAGGTTCGGCTACTCTAGCAGAAGTGCAGCCCGAGGGGATGAAGGCGGGGTTTATGCAACAGAAAGTGAAGAAGATTGACAGGTGGGAGGGGCTCCGCGCGAGGTGGATGATCCTTCCACGGGGACTGCTGCACCCAGTCAGGCCCTCTTTCTGCAGGTTGAAAGGGGCGCTGCAAAGAGGCAAATTCGGGACCCTGCCGTGGACCCGGATTTAATCTTGTAGGGGAAGCCAGAACAATTAGAGTGTTCTCTGGTAGCTGTGTGTCATCTTTGCCTCTCTTAGAAAGGGCGGGGGGAGGTTCGCCGAGGTCGAACCTGGTCGGGAAAGGGGGTTGCTGGCCTCCTTGGCTGGAGATCAGGAAGGACGCAGCGTTGTGGGGAAAAACCAGAGGGAATATCTGTAGCAGTTAAGAGGGAAAGATATGCAGAACAGCGGAAGGAGAACTGAGCAGGGACACTTCATGAACCCTGCTGTGTCGTCCGAGGGGATTCATGTGCGTGGAGGCCTTTGGACTTGATGCGACAGACTCCCTGTACCCCTCTAGCTTCCGCAGCCCAGGGAACCTGGCCCTATGCACTAGAAAAGTTGTCCTGTCTCCTGTAGGGCCCTCCTCCTCCAGCTCCGCCCCTGCGCTCATGTGAGGGTCACACACCCAAATCACTAACCAATCCTTGACTGTCCTGCCACTTGCCCCTATCAAGCTCAGCCCCTACCCAAAACAGCCAGAGACCCTCGTCTTGCCCTTCATCTTTTCCAACTCCACTGTCCTGCACTGTCTTAAGCCCGTCTGTGATCCCTGCATCCTGAGTAAGGCTACCCACCACATTCCTTAGAGACCTCCCCGAAAGACCATTCTTGATCACTGAGTGAATCCGAAATCTGAGACTGAATTCATCTTTATCTCATAACCGAGTACATCATGGAAGCACTGGTGGGAGTGTCTTTTCTCATAGCTTGGCTTCCTCTGTTGAGACATTGGCTCCAGGGAAAGCCTGGTTCTAGTCCAGCATCCCTCCCCTGGAACACTGGGGGATAAGGCAGGATCGTGGCTCACTATGGATAGCATCAAGGGAGCATCCATTTAGATGCTCTCTGGTCAGGGTGAGTATAAGGAGGCCCATAGGTTCAGGCTCTATTCAAAGTGACTCTGCATTCCCCAGAGGCCCCAGTTCCATGTGGTACCCTTCTCAGAGAGAAGATCCTGCCCCACCCCTAATCCTTGGGAGTCCAGCCCAGTGGAAACTGAGAGGTTATCTTGCTGACCTGGCCTCTTGGAGATCGGGGGAGATCCTGATCCTCTCCTTGAAACCCTGCCTCCTTAACTCTCGATAGGTGGGTGATTCAAGACTAGCAAGCCCCTGGAAGTAAACTTAAAGGAGGCAGGTCCCACCCCACCCGCCTGAGCCTGTGTGACTCTCAGCCTCCACTGCCCTTTGGGCAGTCCTTCCTGCTGGAGAGGGGACATCAAGGCAGTCAGGGCCTGAAAGGAGATGAGGAAATCACAGTGGTGACCAAAACAGTCTGTGGAACTCAAGGCAGCCACTGTTGGAGGAGCTCACTCCAGTCTCTAGTCTCTGACCTCCTACAGTTTACCAGACTGTCCCCACCAACTGCATAGGTCTCTCATTCCCAAAATTCCCTGCATGTAGTTTCCAAGTAGAACTAAATGACAGGAACTGGTTCTAGGGAGGAGTTCCTGAAGGGAAATGGAATCTTGGCAACCTTGACATTCTAGGCCCCCTTTTCAAAGAAAAGAAAAAAAAAGAGATAATTGATATTCTGAGCCAGACCTTGTTTTGAAATATGTTCTTCCTTGTCCCTTCACAAACGACAGTCTTTCTTCCTCTTTGAAAATAGGGTCATATCAAGTCAGGTAATAGAAATGGGGAAAATCCAATTAGAGCCTTCTTCTGCCAACTACACATCTCAATATACTCCCCGGTAGGGCAGAATCAGATCTTGCCATAGCCCCCTCATTGACATCATTTAGTACACACCGGTTTGAAATGGCATCAGTTGGAAATGCTGAAACAGAAGGACCTTTCATCCCTGGGCGAGCGGAGCAAGCTGCTTTCCTCTCCTGGTCCTGGAAGCTGGCTGTGTCTGGCTGGAGTCAGGGCCTCTAGCTTAAATAGGCGGCGGGAGTGGGGCAGGGCAGGCCTGTGGGGTGGGCATGGAAACTGGGCCATTTACCCAGCACAGCAAAGCAGTGTCTGAGGAGCCAGCAGTGGTCTAGACACACGCCTGTTTGCCTGACTGCTTGTCCACCAGGTGGCCGGGAGCCCACAGGGCCTTAGACCACAGACCAGCACCTGGGGTGACCCTTGATGGATGTGTAGCTCTAAGTGAGACTATGGTGCTTGGATACTCCAAGTGTACCCAGGTTCCTGGATGCCTCAACTGGATAATAGGAACAACTGGAGCTGAATGGGCTGTTCCCCAGAACCACCAGCAGCTCAGCAGGGTACCTCTCCAAGCCTGTCTGTACTTTTTTTTTTTTTTTGAAACAAAGATAACTCTGATTTCATGTCTGCAGAAATAATGGTTTCAACACCAAGGCAGGAAGAAAGGCGAGCACACTCAGGCTGCCTGTGTGTGTATTTGGATGAGACTGTGAGTGCCGAGCATGCAGAAGTGCCCAGAGCAGCTGTAGAGCAATGCTGGAGACCACCCCTTCAAACCTCGGCAGTGTCTGAAGGACTGCGGGGGAAGTGAGTGCTTTACTTGGTTGGTTCAAGTTGATCTTCTGGTGAGTCGAGGCAGTAGCCCTGTTTCAGCGCATGGAAGCTAGACCATCCGCTAGCAGGAAACTAAGATGAAACAGTAGTTTGTTATTTTATGCTGGTAAAATTTTACCCTTAAAAGTAAAAGTGAATTTGTTAATGCGTAGTTGGAGTCACATATAAGAACTCTTCCTTAACAGGAAAAATATAGATTTCTAGTTTGATATAAAAAATATTTATTCCTCATTTGCAAAAAGGTAGCAACTCAGAGGTCCTGGGTTTCTTGATGGAATCAGAAAATAAATCAGCTTTGCCATAAATACTGATGAAAGAGAAGCTGAGGTCGCATTATGTACAAACTCATCTGCCCATCATCAGGTGTCCTGGGTATTTGGGCCTAGAACATGGAAGGAGCGTGCATTTCAGAACATAGTTTGGGTTCTGACCCTGGAGTAACCCCGGGCCTTCACTTAGCTTCTCTGAGCCGTCTTTGGCTAACTATCACTTTGCAGGGTTGTTGGGAGAATGTAGAGATGATATGGTATTAGGAGAAATGTTTGATAGATACCTAGTGATCTGTTGTCTACTTTGGAAAGATAATTCTACAGTGGGATGGGCAGGAAGGGCAAAGTGCAGGAAAGCCAGTGCGGGAGCGGAGGCAGGAAGACAACAGAACAAAGAGTGGTCACAGATATGGGGACACGTAAGAGAGTAGCATGATGTCATAGACTGAATGTGTCCTCTCCCCGTGCTCATCGGTTGAAGTCCTAGACCTCCCGTGTGACTTTAATTGAAGACAGAGCTTGTAAGGAAGTAATTACAGTTAAATGAGATCATAAGGGTAGGGCCCTGATCAGATAAGACTTTTTTTTTTTTTTTAAAGAAGAGAGATACTGCAGAATATTCACACCCAGTGAAGACTTGTGGAGGCTCCCAGAGAAGGTGGCCATCTATAAGGCAGGATATTCTGAGGCTTCCCAGTGCAGACAGTCACTCCGCACCCAGTGTTCACATGAGCCTTGTGTGAGCACTGTGTAGCATCTATGTGTGAGCCAGGCGACAGTGAGACTCGGGGCCGAGGTCTGGGCTGGAGCAGAAGCTGAGAATTGTTAGAGTGTGGATGAAGTCTTTGGAGTGACAACATCTTGTCAGATCATTTATCCCTTCTTCTTCAGTTGGTTCATTCTAATTCTAATTCTTCTTACATAAGATAGCTTTTGCCTTTTACACCTTTATAAAAAAGCTGACATCCACCTTGGCCTTTAAAAGGCTCAACTGTGTACTAATTCATCCTGGTCCCGCTACACGACTATTTCGGTCCTACTTTACAATCTGATCCTGTTTAGGATCATAACTGAGCTAACGCCCACATGTTTGGTTAGAATCACCCTTTCCCCTGAGCTCACTGTGTATTCAATATCTGTGACGCCAACTCTTTTGTCTTTCTTAGCCAGTCTCAAAACAGCATATCTTCTTTTCATTTCAACTCAGTGGATGATCTATAATTCAAGATGCTAGCTAGCAAGTGTTCACTTCTCCTCCGAGTTAACCTGAAAGGCACCGTGTGTGTTCTTTAGCTCTAGGGTGGGTGTGTAGGTCACTTCTTTCCCTCTCATCCCCTCCTGTGGCCGTTCTCCAAGCTCATTTCAGCCCTGTGGTCCCCTTCCCCTGTTCTAAACCAGTTGTTTGCTCCTGTTTTCTTTTCTGCATTTTTTGGTTTGACGTCTGTTTCATTCCCAGCACCACTGACTCCTTTGTTCCACTGTTTCAATTTTCTGTCCTTTACTCCTTCCAGGTGTTTCTCAGTTCTTTTGTTTTCAAGTTGGAATTACAGCCATTATCTGTTCTGATCTATTCCTCTTTGTACTTTTTTTGAGGGGTTCATTTGGGACCTTTTAAGTTATTACCAAGTTCTTTCTATTTGTTCCCTAGAGCTTTAAGAATCCATCTTTTTGGTTCTTTGGGGGTTCGATTTTTGAGACAGTCTCACTCTTTAACTCAGGGTGGTCTTGAAATCAAGGCAATCTTCCGACCTCAGCCTCCCAAGTGCTGAGATTACAGGTATGGCCACACCTAGCTCAGCTTCCATCACTGAAAAGCTATATTGATTGATATTTCTTGAGGGCCTACTGGGTATAGATGC